TTATGCTGTGATGTTTGGTAGCACACAAAGTGTTCCTCTGGTATTCAGGAGTTGCATAATCTCATAGTCATAGGAACATGTATAAGTCATGAAGAAAGCAATAGCAACAAACTAAACGGTCATCGTGCTAAGCTAACGGATGGGTCAAGTCAGTCACACCATTCTACTAATGATGTGATCTCGTTGATCAAATGACAACTCATGTCTATGGATAGGAAACTCAACCATCTTTGATCAACGAGCTAGTCAAGTAGAGGCATACTAGTGACACTATGTTTTTCTATGTATTCACACATGTATTATGTTTCCGGTTAATACAATTCTAGCATGAATAATAAACATTTATCATGATATGAGGAAATAAATAATAACTTTATTATTTCCTCTAGGGCATATTTCCTTCAAGCGGAAGCATTTAGTAAAGCGGTTGATGTAGTCAAACGTCTTCGCGGTCCAATCAATCCAAGCAACGAACGTACGGCACCTCCGTGTGCAGCACACATTCAGCACGATGACGTCCCTCGAGCTCTTTATCCAGTTGAGGACGATGGACAGTTCTGTTATCATGACGGCATGTTGACGGTGATGATGAAGTTATCAGCGCAGGGCTTCGCCTAAGCACTACGACGATATGACCGAGGTGTGTAACTATGGAGGGGGCACCGCACACAGCTAAGAGACGACTTGGTGTGCCTTTGGGGTGCCCCCTCCCACGTATATAAAGGAGGGGGAAGAGGAGGCTGGCCCAAGGGGGGGCGCGCCAAAGGGGGGAGTCCTACTTGGACTCCCAGTCCAAGTAGGATTCGCCCCCCCCCCTTTCCTATTCCAACAAGGAGAAGGAGGGAAAGAGGAAGAGGGGAGAAGGAAAGAGGGGGACGCTGCCCCCTCCTAGTCCAATTCGGACCAGCGATGGGGGGGCCACCCCTTGAGGCCCTTCTCTCCTTCCCCCTAAAGCCCATTAAGGCCCACTACTTCCCCGGGGGGTTCCGGTAACCTCCCGGTACTCCGAAAAATACCCAAAACACTTCGGGACCATTCCGGTGTCCGAATATAACCTTCCAATATATTGATCTTTACCTCTCGACCATTTCGAGAATCCTCGTCATGTCCGTGATCTCATCCGGGACTCCAAACAAACTTCGGTCAACAAATCACATAACTCATAATACAAATCGTCATCGAACGTTAAGTGTGCGGACCCTACGGGTTCGAGAACTATGTAGACATGACCGAGACACATCTCCGATCAATAACCAATAGCGGAACCTGGATGCTCACATTGGCTCCTACATATTCTATGAAGATCTTTACCGGTCAAACCGCATAACAACATACGTTATTCCCTTTGTCATCGGTATGTTACTTGCCCGAGATTCGATCATCGGTATCATCATACCTAGTTCAATCTCGTTACCGGCAAGTCTATTTACTCATTCCGTAATGCATTGTCCAGTAACTAACTCATTAGTCACATTGCTTGCAAGACTCATAGTAATGTACATTACCGAGAGGGCCCAGAGATACCTTTCCGATACTCGGAGTGACAAATCCTAATCTCGATCTATGCCAACTCAACAAACACCATCGGAGACACCTATAGATCATCTTTATAACCACCCAGTTATGTTGTGACGTTTGATAGCACACAAGGTTTTCCTCTAGTATTCGGGAGTTGCATAATCTCATAGTCATAGGAACATGTATAAGTCATGAAGAAAGCAATAGCAATAAAACTAAATGATCATTATGCTAAGCTAACATATGGGTCTTGTCCATCACATCATTCTCTAATAATGTGATCCCGTTCATCAAATGACAACACATGTCTATGGTTAGGAAACTTAACCATCTTTGATTAACGAGCTAGTCAAGTAGAGGCATACTAGGGACATTCTATTTGTCTATGTATTCACACATGTACTAAGTTTCCGGTTAATACAATTCTAGCATGAATAATAAATATTTATCATGATATAAGGAAATATAAATAACAACTTTATTATTGCCTCTAGGGCATATTTCCTTCACTACCATCCCAGACCTCAAAAATAGGCTTAGAAATCTAGTTACAGATGTTATACAGTGGCCAAAACTGGACAGCAAGAGGGGAAGAACCAAACCACATATCTTTCTAAAATCTTATTCTATTATCATCACCTACTTGCCATCGATATCCAAATTTAACAGGTTGAGCTACACTCATCACGCCTTTCCAGAATATGTAGGAGTTGTTTATAGAGTTGTTGAAGATGTTTGGCTTCTCAGTATTGTACTTAAAGTTCACAATATCTTTCCAAAGTTTCCTCCCTCCATCATAATATCTCTCAATCCAGGAACCAAGGATATAATTATTTAACTCTCGGAGATTAGGAATACCTAAACCCCCGAAATCTTTTTTCATACAAACAAGACCCAAGTTAGCTAGGTGTATTTTCCTATAACCTTCAAAGTCATTCCACAAGGAATTGGCCTTTTGGGTGTTAATCAGCTCTATGATCCATTTTGGGAATTTGAAGAAGGACAACACGCAAACCAAGATACTAGCAAGGCAGGCTTGAATAAGGATCAACCTGCCTTTACAAGAGAGCAGCTTGCCCCAACACCCAACTATATATCCTTTTGATAATCTTATCAATTAGGGGTTGGATGTCTTCAGCTATCCTTTTGATGATCTTATCAATTAGGTGCTGGATATATTCCCTCCTCAACTCATCATAGTGGAGGGGATTGCCTGGGTATTTAATTGGGGAATGACCCAATTTACAATCAAGGACCTCAGCAAATAGTTGTGTCTCTACTTCAGACATATTTATGGGGATCAATTCACTCTCATTATAATTGATCTTCATCCTGGAGACATGTTCAAACTAGGTAAGTACAATTTTAAGATTAGTAGCCTTATATAGGTCCTTCTCTGGAAAGAGGATTGTGTCATCTGCATATTAGAGGCAAATGATCCCACCAATATAGACTGCAAGACACAAACCATTAATTAACCCTCCAGCTGATGCCTTAACTAGCATTTTGGAGAGAACATCCACTACCAGGTTAAAAAGGAGAGGGGAATGGAGGTCCCCATGTCTCAGTCATGTACTAGTTGTGAAGGAATCACCGTCACAACCATTAATCTCAACCCCCACAGAACCCCCTCTGGTGACAACCTAAATCGAAGATGTCCATTTGCTTCCCAAAGCCCATATATATGTTTTAGCAGTTCTATCAAAAAATCTAGGTTAAAAAATCAAATGCTTTCTCATATTCCAACTTAAGGACTAGACACTGCTCTTTGCTAGAATGGACAGAGCGTAAGACTTCATGTGCTGTGACAACACTTTGTAAAAATGTATTTGCCCTTCAAAATACCAGATTGGTTGCAAGCAATCGGTCTTTGCATAAGAAAACTAAGTCTATTAGTTAAAACCTTAGAAAAAATTTCAAACTACTATTAAGAAATCTTATAGGCCCGAACTTTTTCATGGTAGTAGCTTCTACCTCCTTTGCAATCAAGGAAAGCATAGAAAAATTCAGTTGATAGATATCTTGCTTGATTAGATCCCAGAAATGCTGGTAAAAGAAGAAAGTGATCCCATCAAGTCCAAGGGCTCCACCAGCATAGGAGCCAAATACTGCTTTTTTAATTTCCTCCTCGGAAAAAGGGAATTGCTGTATATCATTCTCAGTAAAGGAAACTGTTTCCTCGGCAGAAAAGAACTCTTTGTTGAGAAGCATTTTTTTCTCTTGTTAAAAAGGATTTTATAAAAAGTAGTAGCTACTTTAAAGATGTCAACGGTCTTAGTGAAAGGACCACCTAGAGAGTGAATAAAAGTTTTCATTCTTCTCCGGTTGACCACTACATGAAAAAATATGCAGTATTCTTGTCACCTTCTTTGATGTCCTTATCTCTGAATTTCCGCGTAGCTTTGACCTCCTTGTCGAGATGATGAGCTTGTAATTCTAATTGAATCTCTTTTAATCTACTTTGCTCTTGGTCAGAGAGTTTAGAGGTTCCAGCCTTGACATCTAATCTATCAAATTCCTCCACCAACTCTTTCTTGAACTTCCTAAGTTCAGCTTCTATATCGCAAATCCACCCTTTGGTGATTTTCCTAGGACTCCTAATTTTGTCTTGCCAGATATCAATGGATGACTTCCCATGAGCAGGAGCCTTCCAAATTTTCCCTAATAATTCCTCAAAATCATTCCTATGGAGCCACCATTTCTCAAACTTGGTACTATTAGATTTAGCTTGTCTCCCTAAGCCAGATTCCTAAATAATGGGAGTATGATCACTACCCAATCTAGGGATGGCAGTACAAGAGGCTAGTGAAAAAAAAAACTTTTCTAGCTCTATGTCAACGAAAAGTCTATCAATGGTAATGTTAGTCTGGTTGTTAGCCCAAGTAAATATCCTAGAAGAGGTGAATGATTTTTTTTCTATTTTCTTTGCTATACAAGGCTATTATTATGAGAGTTTGAATTGATTCAGATTAATTATGAAGATGTGACCGGAGATATCATTTCAAGAAATACTCGAAGGGTGCTGTTTTTTTGTAGAAAATGAGGCCAGTTTATAAATTTATTGCTCTAGTACTATATTTTCTATTTTACCATTAGTATTTGATATATTTCCTAAATATTGTACCAAATAAGACATGTTTGAAGTTATATAATTAAGTGGGGGTATGCTTTACTTATATTGGTTCTTCAGTTAAATGGTTTAAAAAAATCCTATGTTGATTTTTGTCCTGGGCCCTCAAATTTCTAGAGACGGCCCCAAAAGGGTTTTGACCATGGCTCCACATTTTCCACAACAAAAAGTATAAACATGCATTGATACATATATAACACACTCAAGCTAGTGAACTTTAGCTAAAATGAACAAACAATTATACATCAGTACGTGTGCACATACCCTAAACAAAGGATGTGTATTAACTTCTTAATTCCAGGTCAAACAATGACAGTTTTTTGCCCGTGTGTGGATGTGGCCAGACAGACGGTCAGTAGTTATCGTCACCATCATTACCACTGTTTGGGAGATACGAATTGTCGCCGAAGTGCACATGGTCATTTAATCCGTATCTCAACGAGTCCCACGTCGAGAACCCGTCGCCTCCGCCATCGGTTGTAGACGGCGGCGCTGGCAGCCCCTCGGTCGAAAACGACGACGACGACGCAGCTGGCGGCAGCTCGGAAGGGAACGTACACTGTTCGTGCTGCTGGCTATTGGAATCAAAGCTCAGCATCATGGACGGCCACCCAGGTGCCGCAGGCTGCTGGTAATGCCGTTCCTGCTCCATCCGGTGCGCGTCCCGGTGGCCTGCGCCGGTGGAATCGAACCTCAGAAATAGTGCGTCGCCAGTTGCCGGCGCCGGCAGCTCGGCCACGACATCTGGAGTTGGGACGGGCGCGGTGTTGCACGTGTGCTCGTACGTGTAGGTGACCTTGAACAGTGGTGGGTCCTCGTGGTTCTCCTGTTGCACCAGCTTTGAGGCAAGGCATTGCTTGTCTTCACGGTAAGAGCATCTGTAATAAAGCCTGCATATTGCCGTTTACATGCATGCGTGTTATTTCGATGGTAGTGAAAGTTAGCTTAATTTGTACTCCCTCCGCACAAATATAAGATGTTCTAACATTTTTTCTGAACAGGTAGTGTGTCTGTTCATTCATTTCACTTCATATGTAGTTCATATTGAAATATTGAAAACATCTTATATTTGTGAACGGAGGAAGTACCATAGCAAGGGCCTATCTACACAACTTCTTTCACAGAAACACCAGTTTTACAGATAGGAAAATACAACGTCACACCAACCACAAAACCTAAGTCACAGTTTCTTCAGTTTAGTTGATGCCCTATATAACTTCGGTTCAGGGATGACCTTCCTGAAAAATATCTTTTCGGTCTATAATGCCACTAGTCAACATTTTTTCTGGAGAGTCTATATCACAGTCGACAAAGAATTAACTAATTTCCCATTTTTACCAAATTATTCATATAAATATAAGAAATTTTTTCTGTGTATCTTTTTCATTTGTCTACAATGTTGTGTCGACCGACTGAGAATTAGTTGATGTTACAAATATGTTCATACTTTACTCTAAGAAAAAGGCTGTTCGCCATCTGTCGTGGTAATTTGTTTATCTAGTGCAAAGATTTATAGTGTTTGTTCTCAAAGTTTAGAAAATATAAAATAATGCACGGACATCCATTCAGATTGAGATAGAACTAATAAATTCTCAGACGTTAGATGGTAATCAATACACTGGTAAATTACCTTGGGAAGACAGAGTCCTTGATGTTTTTCTGGCCATACTTTCTCCACAGGTGACCGTCAAAATGAGGTGTGAACGTATGTTTGACCCATGAAGGTCTGTCTTTCCTGCAGCAATATGTATTTCAGACTATATATGTCAAACGGAGGGCGAGTCAGGATTATCATGGCTCATAATTCATGGTAGACTTGTAAATTGTCCAAAATTTGTAAAGCATGAAGCAAGCTTAGTATGTGCTGAAACACATAGTAAATGAGAACTAGAATGGCAGATCTAGGACAAAAATAACGTGGACTTAACACATACCCTCCCACATACAGAAGGCTTTATGCTAGAACAAATATGCCTGTAATAACTAGCAGAGCAAACTTTATACATATGTAGCTTAACTGGAAATGGACTCTAGAATATTGATGCACCGATCAATGTAATATACAGTTGGTCATTGCAACCACAATGGAGGCATTGTGAGGGCCCAAGCCAATGAAGGCCCAATCTGGGGTGTTCACGTAAGAGCTCAAGAATAGGTTCTCGAAAAGCACCACCAAATTGTAATGCCCGATGTTGACATCCCAGCTTGCCTAGCCCGCACCACCATCCTATCCAACCTAGATAAACTGTAGTAGGGAAAGAATGACAAAAGAGCCGACAACGACTAAGGGAAGACACACCACACCAACATGGTGGTGACAAGGCCAATGAGACCTCATACTCGAGTTTCCCGATACATATCTAAAGAAGGATTCCAATGATCACAAAGGTTCGAATATTAGCCAATCAAGACAAGGTGCCTCTAGGATGACATTGTTATTTCAACACAACGCAATAATATGTTTGGGTGGAAGATGTTGCCAATGCAAGCCAATCCATCAAACTCGGCGCGCACTCACCATGAATGTCTATTAAGAGAACTATAGATCCAATCCACGGGATCCGCCATCAATCAATACTCATCCATACCTGATAGTAGTAGGTGAGCATCCTAGAAAAAAAACCACCCGGATATTCTAATATGGCCAATCAGCTACCATCTCCAAGCCCAGAGGAACCATCCCATGGCCATTTTGCTTAGTGGAGGAGACCTCGCATGACGAAGAATGGCCCTAGTCCACCAGTGCTACTTTTGCTAAAGGAAGGAGACATGGGCAATGGAAGACGAGCAAGGCTTTGGGCTAGAAAGGGGCCTTGTCATCATTATCCAACACACGATGGCTCTGCGGTGGTGGAAGAAGTCAGGAGTCTCAAGAGTCGCCTTTGACGACCCAGAAGGCAGGCAGCCATCTATTTTTACCTAGATTTTCATTTAACTATGACTTTGCGGCTTCTCTAAAGATGGGAATGGGATGAAGGTACCCAATGGGACATTGGCCCGACCTGAAATTCCAAGGCCAATGGGTCCTTTGGGTCGGCTTCTTGAAAACTAGGGCAAGGGAGTTAGTCACCACTGGTCCATTATGGCTAGAGGCTCGGCCGATTTTCGGTTGTCAAGGTTTGTAATATGTTGTTACAATAACATTTGCCTTGCAAAGTTGTCAGCTTTCTGCTTATAGAAAAAATTCAAACTATTGAACCAATATTGCTAGTGTTCTAGAGTTGCAAATATGCTAACTTGAGAGGTTAATGGTTCATAGTAGAAAATGGAGCAAAGTTGCATATGTGTCTTCTTTTCATTGAACAAATGAACTCTACATATAACTTGCTAGGAAATTCTGGTTTCTAAGTGACATTGTTGTGTAACCGATTCTTGTTTTAGTAGTACAAATCAAGTATTTATGTGGGTCGGACCATATGGCCAAATGGGACATGTGGCTAGTCTTTACTAGACCATTGGGTCGGCTCCATGTCCCTAGACAGAGGAGAGGGGGCCAATAGGGACTGGGTCTGCCGGAGTGGGTCGGCCCATTTTGATTCTTAGGCTGCTCATAGTGATGCAAGTGTGGCCCGCTTACCCCGCTAACTATGCCATTTGTGTATCAATGGTCAATATTTATACTACAGTGTAGTACGACACGGACAAGCGGTGTGCGTCCTGCATCCCTTGGTACTCTTCTTCTCAAACTTTGTATATGTTGGGGCGAAAGTGAACCAACGGTATATCCTACTATGCTCTTGTGTGTTATTGCCACGTATATCTTGTTGACTTTTTGGACCTACATGGTTGATCAACAAGACAAGAAGCCTCAATTGCAGGATGGGCACAAGCATACCCTAACCTTATATCTATGTGTGGCTATGAAAAATGCATGATTTTCTCCCCAAAGAAGTTACGCAGTTAAGGCTCCCTTTGGAACAAAGGAAAACCGTAGGAATTATGGACGATTGAATTCTTAGAGGAGAAGTTCCTGCTGCACTGTTTAGAATAAAGGAATGGATCACCAAGATTCACTAAGTCCACCAACTGATTTATTGGGTAATGAAGGAAATGATACTTTGAAATGTCCATATAGTTTATAAAATAATTAGAAACTAATACTTGTTAGGAAATTTGGGTAGTATGAGAAATGAGAACCACTAGTATAGTAATGTAAACCATGCTCGACATGTTTTATAGGGAATGCACCCTTGTGGCTTTTTCGTTTCTGTTCATCCTTTTGGAAAGGAAAGCATATACTTGAGTCATAAAATACTATTCAGGACAGTGCTGCAATATCAGAAAGAGGACCATGTGTTGTGACTGTAGTCATTGTTTTCTCTCATATCCATGCTTAAAATGTGCATGCATAAAGCGCTTCAGTTTAGTAATAGCAGTAGCTTCTCAAGAAAATGGAACCCTCCACTAAGGAAAAGATGTAAGCACAGGTAAAGCAAATCAAAGGGAAGGAAATATGACTTCGGCCCGAAGTTTCCAAATTAAATGCGCATGCTTCATCAAAGGAGGATGTGCATATTTTTGGGGAATATGGAGTTACTAGTAAAAAGGAAGAATGAATACAGCAGCATTCCACTGCATGTATTTATATACTTTGTAATTATAGTATATGATGATGTACAAATGCGAAAGAAAAGAAGTAAACAGATAAAAACTACTAGGTACTTCCAGTAATGGCTACCATAATAATCTGGTTCAGCTTTCAGCAGTTCATCCCATGAAATATAGCTCGACCCAGAATGTTGTTTTAGTCTAGGTTCAACTATCGCTCTCAATCATCAGTGTTTTGGGAGTTTATTAACCTGCAGTAAACCATTAAATCCAAGTTGTAATAATATAGTACATCCTGTTAAACATTCCAGTTCTAGCTAGAGCCTATTTGTCTAGTGCCACCTGTTTCTGAACATGTATGTCAATGTTCCCTCTCCTTAATTTTACAAAATCTTACCCATATTGGCATACAACCGAGGAGGGCACAGTACAGAAATGAGTATGCACGTTTTGACAGATTCAATACGCGTACAAACGGGAGAAAGCTCACACCGAGCAACACAAAGAGTGCAAATCAACACGCATTTCAGGATCTGCTTCAGAATGAACACTTGCTATAGAGGGGAGTTTCCGTACCTTCTCTTTCGGCTATCGCGGCGCGAGGACTCCGGCGGGGAGAGGCCGAAGACGCCCCCGGGAGCGCTGTAGGACGCGGACGCAGAACCCATGGCTTCCTGCGCGCGTGGATCCTCGAAGTCAAACGACTCCCCCTTCGGAGGCGGTGACGCCATTGGATGGCCTGGTCTTTGCACAACGAGGTGGTGGAGATAATAGCAGCTCGCAAGAAGCGCAGCAGGTATATGTGGGAAACTGAGAAGATGGGGTAGCCACCTATGTCGTTTTCGAGCTGCTGCTCGCCGCAGGAGGGCTTTAAATTTTTAGGAGGCAGCGAGCTCAATGGCCGTGGAGTGCATAGTACAGACTCGATCAATATATTACGGTTTAGTTTTGTTGCGGGGTCATGAGGCTTTGCAGGGTCTTTTCATATGTTTAATGTTTCCACACATAATAGATTCGAGACGATGACTCTGCCGCCAATTATGGATTAATCATGGGCTTATTTTTCTCAGTACTGACTGTAGACACATATATATACATTTTGTCTGTGATAAATAGCGTTTGTTTTCTTCAAATGTTTTCTTTAGTACTATGATTGAGCTCGGTTCCCTTTGGCATTCACGATCAAGCATCAATCTTACGTGGGCGAGTGGGGTGGGATGCGTGCGTGTTTGATTATGGGCAAATTGCAGCAAAGGAGGCACAGAAGATGGGTGCCAGCCGATTAGATGTATTGCCAGTTGGGACTAGATTAGTGAGGCCGTTGTTAATCGGGCACAGTGGAGGCTACTAATCCCGAGCCACCCCACGTTTCGGTGCAGTTTGTAACAATTTGCTGCAATTTGCTGAGAGTCCAGCTAGTTCCATCAGAGAGAACTTGCTGACAAGATCTGACCTGATCTAATCTGATGCCAGCAGAGCAATTCTTTTTCCCCAAACGGGCCAGCAGAGCATTAAATGGATGCATCTTCACAACCTCTTGTCTGACTGACTGTCTAAGTTAAGGGTAGATTTATAGTTCCGGTGAATACGGGGGTAGCTAAATGGGAGATTCAGTCCATGTCCTCCTTAGGACTTTGCACCGTTAATTGTTCTTGAATCATGATTGTTATACACTACCACACAGTATATGGTACGTACTTGTTCATGTATTAGTTGTATTTCATTGATTTTTAGTAACGGATATGGACTCGTTATAGGGGTATGACACCAAACTGATCTTAGCCGCCAGTGAAACCCTAACGGTGCATGCCCCCATGCTTCTCCTCCTCTCTCTTTCCCCTCAATGCCACCGAAGAACACTTGCCGACGGCGACTCGCGTGGGGTGGTGGTTGATACCAGAAGGGCCGCCCAGGCGCAGATCGATTTGGTGGCGACGCTCCTCACCTGCGCGATGGGGGTAGCCGGTGGTGCGCCAGGCAACTTTGGAGCCAACGACAGGGTAGTTAGGCTCTAGGCTAGGGAGTCGACGTATGCATCCGAGAATGGTAGAAGTGGTGGTGGCTACCGATCTTCATCCCCACCCCTCCCACTCCTAGCGACGAGGCTGGATGGTAGTGCAAAAGTGGTTGGATACAAGGAGGTGAGGTCCTCAGCCTCCTTCCAACGTTTTCTCCAATGGCATGGACGAGTCACGGGCCCTCTCAGTGCCTGGTCCCGCTAGCGAGAAGGCGTCATCCAATAGAGAGGTTGTTGCGAGTGATGGTTCCAACAAAATGTATGCAAATTCTCCCATTGAAAACACATGATCTCGCCTCCGAAGAGATAATGTAGAACTGCACGCACCAACGGGTTCACCCAAAAGCTCAAGCTGATAGGAAATGTGGGCCATGCATTTATACGTCAACACTTTTCCTCACGTGTGGCTCTCTCAGACCTAAAAGTGGACCAAATTGGGCTGTAATTTTAATTGCACTAACTGGGACTTGAATTTCAAGACCTCTTTGCTTCGATGCCATCGTAGAACTGCACACACCAGTCAGTTCACCCAAAAGCTCAAACTGATGGGAAATATGGGCTATGCATTTATACATCAACATATTTTTTTTAGATAAAAGGCCTTGGCCCGGCTTTATAAATAAAGCCACACGGCAGCGTCACAGACCCGAACACCCAAACAGATAACTAGAACCGCGAATCCATCGACCAAAGCCTAGAGCAGGCGAAAGAAGATCCAGAGCGATACATGGCACCCTGCCATACACGGCGCGCAGGCCGTAGGGGAAAGACGACTACGACCAAACCGATAAAACCACCGCAACAGAGATCAGGCGTTAGGTCCCAGCCCGGAGAAGAAGGATGCCGAAGCCCGAATTTTGGCGATGAGCACGTCCAGGGCATCCCGATCGTCTTCTTTAGTCAATAATCTTCACTGCTGCAATAAGATACAAGATTTGAAAAGAACGTCAACAGGTTTAGATGGAAAGATATGCTCGATAGTAAATTTATTCCTAGTAGTCCAAAGGGACCAACATAAGGCACCCAAGCCAACCCAGAACACCCTCTTGGTGACCCCAACCAAAACCTTGGCTAGTGTTCTAAGCTCAGAGAAGGACGAGGGATTCCAAGAGACCTGAAGCCAAGATCTGACGCAACTCCAAACAAACTTAGCCAAGACACAATGGAAAAAGATGTGGTCCGTGTTTTCCAGAGCACCACAAAGGCGACAGAACTCTGATCCCGGACCATTGCGCTTGCGAATCTGATCAGCCGCAGGAAGGCGGCCTCTGAAGGCTTGCCAAAGAAATATCTTAATCTTAGGAGGCACTTTAGACTTCCAGATGTTAGTAAATCTATTCGAGGGGGTACCTCCGATAAGCCTAGAGTAAAGAGACTTGACCGAAAACCTGCCAGAAGACGAATGAGGCCAAATTACAGAATCCGGAGCCTTCGAGAGCACGGGGAAGAGGGCAGAAAGATTTTGCCAATCCTCCAACTCTTCAGGAGACAGGGAACGGCGAAAAGCCAGGTCCCAGTTATTATCCGCCACCTCCGCGATGGAGATGTCCGGCTTAGGACAGTAGGAAAACAAAACCGGGAATTGAGTAGCCAGAGGAGCATCTCCACACCACCAATCCCGCCAAAAACGAACAGAACTACCATTTCCCACGATAAACTTAACATGCTCCAAAAAAATTGGTCTAACTTTGACAAGGTTCTTCCAGAATTGAGACCCACGTCTAGCAGAAGCAAACAGGGGGCTAGATTGAGGGAAATACTTGGCCTTGAGGATAGAATACCAAAGAGAGTCGGCCCCAGTAGTCATAATTTTCCACCACCATTTAATTAATAATCATTTGTTCATCACCAACGTATTAATAATGCCTAAACCCCCAAGGTTCTTAGGCCGACACATAAGCTGCCACTTGATTAATCTATATTTCCGCTTATTATCTGCCGCATTCCAATAGAAGGCACCCCTGTGTTTGTCAAAGCCGGCGTGAATACCAGCTGAAAGGAGATAGAAACCCATAAGGAACATCGGTAGGGCTGAGAGACAGGAGTTGATTAAGGCCACCTTGCCAGCATTAGTATTGTATCTACCGCGCCATGGAAGGACCCTGTTACCCACTTTAGCTACAGCCGGGGCAAAATCCTTAGCAAGAAGTTTAAAAGGAGAAATTGGGAGGCCTAGATATTGTATTCACACCAGTAAATAGAACCTCACTCTTGGAGAAGTTAATCTTCAATCCAGAGACCGCTTCGAAGCAAAGAAGGATGAATTACAAATTTGCAATACACGCATCATCCAATTCAACCATAATGATCGTATCGTCGGCATACTGAAGGTGAGAGACCCCTTCCGGAAGGAGATGAGAGACCACCGGACTAATGTGACCACATTGAGTCGCCCTCACGAGAATACAGGAAGAGGCATCGGCCACAAAATTGAAAAGGACAGGGGAAGCCGGATCCCCTTGATGAAGTCCCCTGCCATTGGCAAAAAAATTACTAATATGCCCATTCATCAAAACGGCAGTTGGCCCCCAGTGACCAACTGCATGATACGATGCACGTAAGCTGCATCAAAACCTTTCGCGAGCAAGACCTACTTAAGAAAAGATCAGCTGACCGAGTCGTATGCTTTTTCAAAGTCTAACTTAAGAATAACCGCTTTAGAGCCCCGAGAATTTAGGTCATGCACAATTTCGTGCAAAGAGAGGATACCATCTAAAATAAACCGACCCTTAATGAAAGAAGATTGGAAGGGACTAATAAATCTATGAGCAACCGGAGAAAGGCGGTTCGCGAAGCCCTTAGCTGGGAATTTGGCAAAATTATTAATCAGAGCAATAGGACGAAATTGAGAGATTAGTTCAGCCCCCTTGACCTTGGGAATCAGAGAAATGACAGCATAGTTCAAGCGGGAAATATCGATATAGCCAAGGCAAAATCCCTATATGACATTGCAAACCAGCTGCTTTAACTGAGGCCAGAATTTTCGAAAAAAAGGAATAGAAAAGTCGTCAGGCCCAGAGGCCGCATTAGGGTTAGCGGAGTTAACTATGTCCCAGACTTCCTGATCAGAAAGGGGGATCATCAACGCGACATTGTTCTCGGCCGAAACTTTTAAACCCATGTTCCAGAGAGAAGGGGAGATCGAGAGGCCCGAAGGAGGTTTCGCCTCAAGCAAAGTAGAGAAGAAGTCCCGCACGTGATTCATAATAACAGATTGGTCCGAAGACCGCACCCCATTGATGATCAGATTGTTGATACCACAACGCCTCCTCCGACCGTTTGCAATGGCAAAAAAATATGCAGTGGGGGAATCGCCCTTTAGCATCCAATTAAGCATGCCCCGCTGTCGCCAATACACCTCAGCCTGACGGTGCAGCTGTAGTAAGGCAGCCTCGAGGTTATACCTCACAGACCAACCATCCTCGGAAAGCCCAACAGAGTTAGCAGTCAAGTCTAGTGCCAAGATTTGGGTCTCGAGGAAATCTTTGGAGCGACGATCCTCCGCCACACGGTTGCGGGACCAGCCTCTAAGGAACTTACGCAGGTTGTAGGAGCAAGAATGCCAGTCATCCAGAGGACCGAAAGAGCGCGAATTAGAGGAGAGCAGATGAGATATCTTCACAGCAATCATATCACAAAAACCATCCACGAGCAACCAGGAGGCATCAAACTGAAATCTGGCCGGAGGTCTAAGGTTAACAGAACCGTCGTCAA